TAAAGATCCATCAAAATTCAGCACTGAGCTCATTTCTGTTCTCAATCACGACAGATTGCAAGGATCGAAGGATCTGCAGGAAGAAGCTCTCTACTGCATGCTCTCTGCGGAAGACGTAGTGCTGAGGAGAAAAAGTAGAAAAGCAGTGGAAGTAAAAACCGAACATAGAGAAAAGTCGTTGACAAAGCGGCCCTTCCACTCAGCGAATTCAAATTCAGCGGGAAGAACAGAGGGAAAGCCAACGAAATAATAAAAGTACTGCGGAATCTGCTGTCTGAAACCAAATAATTCAAGAATTGCTTCGAGACAATGAAGAAGCCAACAGTGAGTTAAGAAAGAGGCTGAACAAAGCATGGTTCAAACGGAGAGAAGTGAGCGGAGTACCGTAAGAAGAGAAAATTCCCTACCAAGTACAGGGGAGGTGTACAGAACGATAGTAGACTGGTACTTCTGTACGGACCAGAATACTTGATGAGCTTGAGGAGACACGAGCAACAGATGAATTTTGTGCAAATGTGAATGCTCGCATGGATGCGTGATGCCAGCTGAAACGACCATATCCGGAATATCCACCAAGCGGTATTTGATGTACACACCCAATTACAGAAAAGCTAATCGAAAGGAGACTCAGGTGGTCTGGCCATGTGAATAAAAGATCCGACAAATACGTTAAAAATGTGGTCCAAGTCGAAAATAATACCATTTAAGAAAATAAGGAGTATTACAACAGCAGAGGGGATGCTACGCGATAAAAAACTGTATAAAACTGCGAGGAGTGACCGAAGATTTAACTAAAGACTGAACACTGTAAAGCTAGTTCACTCGTTCATCGACGAGTCATACGACTGATCCAAGTGTTTGCGCTGTGTATAAATAAACCGTATTTGGCCATGAGAAATATTACCTTTGTCGCAAATACGGTAAATCTGAGACACTCCAGAAACTAAGCTCTCATGTGGTAGCCGAAACAAGGCAAACGTCGACACAAGGCCGGTATGCAACGTTGAGGAACGTGGTAGAGGCAGGTGTGATTTCAAAGAGGTATTGTTCCTTGGACGTTGCAGTGACCGGTATCTCGTAGCAGATATGCTGTAAAAATGCGAATACAACGAATATCGTGGACCAGACATGCACACGCCTCTAGGTGACGATCTCAACAAACAGCTATGTGATACATCACTGGTGATAGTCTACAGCTAAAGAGATATAGTTATGAGACAGGACAAAAAAATGTTGAACAACTGCATACCAGTTAGTGGTCCAAGAGGTTAATTAATGATCAATCAGTCAACGGTTTATCAGCTCGATATCTGACTTGTTCAACAGCAGAGTCGGATTCAGGACAGAGAGATCACGGGGTTGAAAGACTCTCTGTTCTTCTTCTGGCTGATAAATGAGCACCACGTCATGAGAACGAAATAGGAGACTATGATTATAGCCGTCGCAAGCTGCTGACAGATTTATCAAAAAATTTTTAGAAAAAAACAATAAAGTATTCATTGTCGGTGACACGAAGACGGAGATTAAGGTCGCGTGAAAAACTGCATGAAAACAGGATGCTACGAATGATGCTCAATCATGAAAGTAAAAAGGAGATAGACATCCGAACGATTATCAACTTACTTTACCCTCGTTTAACTTTAAATTATTAAATAACATACAGGAGGATTTCGATAACGTACTTCCAATGAAAATATTTAAGTTATGAGATCAGCAGAAAAATTATCGTATCGCACCTGTGTCCAAATTCAGTAGAATCTGCTGCTGCCGAGCAAGAACCAGTCGCTGGTTTTCGATCAGATTTACGAGCTGGTCTCGATTCAGCTGGCCACTGCCGTAAGCGTTACAGGTTGGTCTTGCGACAGCAAGGGGACCGATGGAAGTCATCGGCGATGAACCGCCGCCGACAGTCTTGAGGTTCGGATTGGGAGAGTAGGTTCTAGTGGAGAAGGTTTTGCTCGGCCGTCCGCTCATCACCTCGTCGTAAGACGGAGGAGGCGGTCGCATGGAGGGCATCGGCATCCGATCGAGTGCTGGAGGGAGATTAGCGCCAGCGTAGATATGCGGCGACTGGAAACCTGCAGATCCAGATACGGGGTACGAGTTGGACGTACCGCGGAGGTTAACGGAATCGTGCACGGAATGGCTGGATACCATGAGTCCGGTTGGTCTGTTCTCCAAAGGGGAATGCAGGGCGTTCTTTTGGACGACCAGACCGGCTTCTCGTTGCTGCTCCGTCGAACTGCTGAAGGTGACACTGCGTTTCATGGACGCTTCGGGCAAGTTGACCAACGGACGAGAAGGTAATGAAGACGAAGACGAGCACGGCTCATTGTTCGAGCTCGAGTTCGAGTTCGAGTTGAGGCTCGGCGGCTCCTGCAAGCAGTGCAAGACGAACTGGACATCGGCCGCGTACTCGCCCCACTTCGACAGCAGCTGAAGGGGGTGGTCGAAAGGTGCAAGACTACGTTCACTGTTGCGCCACCTTTCGACAAGCACGAAACGACCCGTTTTACCAGTGGCGTGTGCAAGCGCGTAGATCACCTCCTGACACGTGCTACTCTCGCTTATGCCGCACACCACTCGCTGCAAGCCGTCTACCCACACTTTCAGTTCCATCAGCGGTCGTTGCCGTTACTCGAGTTCGAGTTCGAGTTCGAGTTCAAGAGACGGGACACACGTCTGTCGAACGTTGAACTATGACCCCGTTCGACTGGACACGATTACGCGGACAGACGGACAGACAAACGGCATCGCCGATTTGTCGACGACTGCTGCCGGCGACCACATGCATACGAGCAACTGCATAACCTTAGTATTGTCCACACACTAGGTGGTGCAGACACTACGACGACGACGACGACCTACTCGCTGTCAACCGATCACGTGATACTAACCGATTCGCAAATCTAGCGATTTCAACCAATCCGTGTCGGCCGCCGCTAACTTTCGTCGTCCTAGGTGAGGCTCAGCTGGTTAGGCCGGTTCCAATAGCGGCGGCGACTGCACGGTGTCGCGACGAGGTCAACGCGGTGCTGGTCTGGTAGAGCTGAAGTCGATTCGTTACGAGACTGTCGTCGTTGTCGACGCTGCTTAGTGCGGTAGCGGCAAAGAGGCAAATCAATCGGTCGATATTCGGTGAGGCGAAAACCGGGTGGGGACTAGTTAGGAATTAATTATAAGTATTACCTT